ACTGCTGCTACTACTACTACTGCTACTACTACTACTACTACTACCACTTCTGCTACTCCCTGTCCTCTTTTTTTTTTTTTGGCGTAGATGCTTTTCAAATCATTTGCTGACTTCAGCAGCATTTTGTCAAATTGTTTGTGATGTTCCGGATCCTCTTTTGTTGATGCCTATCATTTTTTTGTCGCGTCATCCAGAGATTGCCCAACGATATCCTCCAGTTTCAGTCCAAAGTGTTTGCAAGCTCAAGCTTGTTATTATGTCATCTAAGCATAACGCAGTAGCGAGCTGCACATGTTCCGCAAGACTCACTGTAAGAACGACATCAACTCTGACATTCTACATAGCTGGTATGCATTCATTAGACAGAGGATGCCTGAGAGTCCCAGACACCTTGCACCACGCATTCTTGTTGCGTCGAACTCTCAATGGGCGGTGCCTGTCCCGCTCATCTCACCAAGAGCAACCGAGGGTACCCCAAAACCCGTATGGCAAGAGAGCGCTGCGCGACAGCCTGCTATATTTACGGCGTTCCTGCATTTTGACTGTGTGAAGTGCTGCGCCCAACGTTGAGCGCTTGCCTAAGCGTTGTTTTGCCAAGCAAGATCTCACAGCGCAGGTATTATAACAAATACGAACAGATCTATATCTCCTACGGCAGCGGGCCTCAGACTATCTTGATTTAAATGGCTTCCTTCAGCTGATCATGTGGCAACCATCCGCATGCCAATTGAAAGGCAGGAAATCTAATGCCCAGCTGCTTATGCTGTACGGCTTCAGCATGGAGAGGAACACTCAGGACACACATGTTTTTGTGACCCAAAGAGTCTGCTGTTGCCAGAACGCTTTGCAGCTGTTCTTGAAGGACTTTGTGACAATCTCTGCAGGGCAATTGATGGAAACCAGCCCATTTGCCGATGCCAATGTCTTAGCAGAGCTTTCATCCTACTTGCCGGACAGTGTTCTGAAACAAAGCTGACACGCCCGCCAAGTCAATGCAGGTGAAGAAGAAGATTCTAGAAGAGTTAGAGGTCCCACCGGAGGCGCGAGAAGGGGGAGTTTCGTGGAAGAATTTGCACCAGTTGAAGCCATCCTCGCTCTGGGAGGGAGTCTTCCCGCTTTATCGGGATCGTTTCACGGGCGAGATGATGATGTACCTAAGGCCGGTCTGAATTTATGATCTCATGCTTTTGATCTTCAAATGTGTACTGCCGCAGGCTTGCAATCCTGCAGCCGGCAGATCTTGACCTAGATGATGATGCCAGCCCAAACCAGGTTCTGATCATGACCTGGGCTTGATCATGATCTGTCAATTCCGCCTGCAGAGAGGTGTACAAGGCATTGAAGCAGCTGGACATCAAGAGGGCCACCGGGGAGTTCCTTGGCAACGGCTTTCTTTGTTTTTCCGAAGCTGAAAAGACAGTCCCGCGAAGCATAGCATGCATGAACTCACTTGAGGCAAAGTACGGCCAAGCAGTTTAATGAGAAATGGGAAGCTCCACTTGATATTCTTGGCATGTCTTGTTTTGTCTGGGCTTGCATTGTTTCTGGACCATGGAGGCCCTGACAACATGTTCAAGCCGAGGGGTTTTGAATGAGGTGAGACTCATTGCAGGCCTGTATGATTATGCTCCCGCTCATGACTCCCATATTTACCTCATCCGCGGCAGGTAGGGTAGTTTCCCTTGAATGCGCCCCAGGAGATTCAAACCGCGGCAGAAGAGAAAGCGTGTTTTCTTTAAGGGTCAAATTGCACGAGTTGGCAGCAGATTCGCCGAAACGTCAAAGCGAGCACGCTGGGGGTTAAGTCACAAACGTGACCCTGAGACCTTGGGATTGTAACCCCTTTTTTACTCTCGAGAAGTCATTCGCTCATGCAACATCAGAAAAAACTCAAGAGCAGTTTTTTGGGCCTCTCAACGCGGATAAGAAAATTTAGTTTTGCAGCTTCGGCTTCCCCACCCCCCTCCCCCGAAAAAGGAATCCGGACTCCCAACAGCCGTATTCGCGCAAAACCTTGCAGGCCCCACCCTGAGTGAGGAATTGGGCACAATTCACGACCAAATTTAAGGAGACTGTCCCCATGTGATAGCCTTATGGCAGTGTATGGTCCCGTAACTAGCGCAGCTGCATGCTCTAGGACCCTAGCAGTATCTGAGGCGCCTTCCCTAGCAGAATTTCATATGCTTTGAGGAGGTTGTGTAAGACATGCTCCCTTCCGCCTGAAGTTCAGCCGTTGGTCATGAAGGGATCTCGTGAGCCACTGAGGGTCAGCGAACGTGGTGCGCTGATCTGCTTGAGAGGCATCATACAGGAGCTTTTGCATAATTGTTTCAGCTGTGTGAATCAAGTTGGTTGTCTAGAAAGAGAGCGGCAAAACATAAGCAGCAGATTGTCTGATTTCCTGCAGGAGCTACAAGATGCTTATCCTACAACGCTTCAAGAGGATGAGGCGTGCACGTTGCCTTGGTGTACGTTTCGATGCTCTTCCTGCTGCAAAGAGCCTTTCTCAGGCATTAATTCGGGATAGGCAGATGCCAGGATCCCAGCTGTGTTGCTAGTCGGCATACACCTGTTTGGTGCCCTTCGAGGTTTGAACTTCTTCCCAAGAACCAGCGGAATGCCTTACGTGTCAGGTCTGACTTGCAGACTTGCAGAGCATCATGTTGACTCGAAGCATCCTTTGCCTTGTTGCTGTACAAGGTACGGCGAGAAGTTGATCTTCCGTGCATCTCTCGCCACCATTGACCGCACCCTCAACAACTTGCCGAGGTGTTGATGTCTTTCCGTTGGTCACTTTCCTGCCTGGGTGGTTACTCGCAGGCTTGGGCAGTTGGAGAAGGAGAAGGCCAAGAGATACCAGGAGGCAGTGTGCAATAATGATTTCTCCAAGTGCACGAAGCATGTTCGTCTGGTCTCAAAGACAAGTGCACAAGACAAGTATTTCACAATCTTGACCTTGATCCACGAACTTCTTTACAGAAATCTCTCGGCAACCAGGCCTGCAAAAAACAAACTCTGTGAAGCAAAACACTGCCGAAAACAAAACATAGAAGTGGAAAAACACGAAAAAATACATGCAGAGACAGCAAGCAAATGGACGACATGAAAATTAAGACACAAGAACTGACACACAAATGCAGAACAAGGACGTACATAGCCAAAGAAGCAGAGATCACATGGGAAAGACTTAGCGACTGAACACTAGGGTGTAAGTTCTCCCATCCATGCTTAGCAAAGAGAAGCCAGGCTAGGCCAAGCCGCCTTGATACGCAAGTCGTCGAACGTTCTAGTGCAAAGTCACAATCTCATGAAATTCACGACTTAGTGTCATCCTTGTATCCGCCTTTGCTTTCTGTTCTTGACAAAGGCAGGTTGTTCGTTTTTCGATCCGCTAGTCGATATGCCTTATTGATAGGTCAAGTCTTCGGATGTTTTCGGCATTCGTGCGCACTGGGGAGGGGTCATTCGCCTCCTGGAACCAAACGTGTCACCGCAGAGTGGTTCCACAGACCTATCACACCCTCTCAAAAGACAACAGGGTGCTCAAGCATGTGTCGAGGATAGACAGCCTGCATTATTTTAGAGGCAGTGTCCATGCAAGTTCAGGATGCCCAGGTGATGGTCGTTGCTTAGGCAGCGCGAGCATAAGTCATTGCTTGTGACTGAGCGTTTGTAGCCAGCAGTCACGAAAGCCAGCGTAGCTAGTCTTGCTTTCGCTGCAGTACCAGGGATTCAAAGCCCTCAAGTTTGATTCCTAATCTATTGAAGAGTTCGAATTCTTTTCAGCACGCGGTCAATGCCATTTGTGCGGATCATCCCGACACCGACTCCCGAAAGCGAGCACAGACGAGGAAGCTCCACATTCTAGCGCATGCACTCGCGCATGATTTGTTAACGCTCATTACTTGCTACACTGTATATCAACTCGCCTGCTTTCGCGTGTCCAGCTCCATCACTTTACTAAGCCTTCTGAACTCGCTTTGGTAGATCTTCTTTTGTCAACCTCCATGCCCATCTTCGCTGAAGCCATGACATTTGTGCTTAGAGTGTCATCTGTCTGGGTGTGCAGATGGAGAACTCCGCCTTCGGACGTCTCAGCGTGAGGTTCGAGTCACCTTTCAAGGCACGCAATCTGGAGGACCAGGGATTCCTGAGTTTATCATGGGCTTGCATCCGCCTGCATCCCTGCAGCACTGCAGGAACTCATGAAGGAGCTGGACATTTGAGAATCCTTCCTTAGAATTCCGAGTGTTAATTCTGTGTGTCTCCTATCGGAGCTCATCGGCGTGTGCCCACAGGCAATTTGTCCATAGGGCAGCCTCTGCAACAGCCTGACAATGCCTGGTGCCCGTTGCCAGACGTTGCCAGTCTAGAAATAGAGTCCGTGCCAGCCCGGGCTCAAAGATCTGCTCTGCAGACTGCCCCTTGGTCATTGAAGCCATGCTTTAAGTTTCATGTGCAGTTTTCATGCACTTGTGGTCACGATTTTCCATGCATTTGGCCACTTGTGCAAATGTTGTATCCAAACCCCGTGAATCTGCATGCTGCGCTGCACAAACTGCACGTGTAGTGAGACCTTGATGATTCCGGCCCTGTGGCCCAAAGCAAGCTTGCTTGTCTTGCCCTGTCTTACACGCGTCTTGGTGGCAGTGCTCTCTCAAGTGGAGAGGGTCGGAGCCGTGTGATGGTGGCCACGTGAGGTGCCTTGGCTATTGTGAGCAGGTGTGTGTTGGTGGTCAGCAGTCTGTTTGCAGCAAAATGCGAGGCGTTGCGGTTATGCCCGCTTCAGCGCTGCTGACGTAGAGCTTGCAAGTTGGACACCGGGAGCCTGCGTTGCTATGCATTCGAAGTGCTGGCCAGGCGTGGTCAGCTGGTGGAGATCTCTGGGCTACAGGCTTGTCGAGCGGTGTGCTGGAGATTTCTGGGCTAGATTCGATCGAACTTCCCATGGCCTCAGCCGGGTTGATGTACTGAACTGTCATGCAGATGCAGATGTATGGAGATGTCATCATCTTATGAGTAATCAGCATCACTTGCAAGTGGAATAAGCAATAGGTGGAAAATCAGATGCAGTGGTCACTGGTACTACAGTTGAACTAGCGAACATGTTGCGGATGATGTTCATGCAGGCACCAATCGCGCCATCAGATCGCTGGAAGCAAGATGGCGACAAGGGAGCGCGAGACTTCAATGGCCAGCAGGCAGTGCTTTTATGACAAGACTGGGCACAGTGATGTGCCGGTGGCTGTGTAGATGCAGCGCTGGGCCACCCCCCATTGGCAAATCATCCCTACCAGTTTGTAGCTTGATTCATCAAAAGGTTGGTGGCTTGACAGGGTTGCCTGTGACAGGGCCAGCTCATTGACTTCACTGAGCAGACAGGCGAGTGGACCGTCGCTACATTTTCGGCAGACATGGCTGGGAGCTTTGTGAAGTGATGTGAAGTGATTACCATGGGGCGGTTTTGTGGAGACGGAGGCGATGGTTCATTTCAACCGGTTCATTGTAGGCTGGCAGGCAGAGCTTCCGTCCTTCCAGTCCGTCTTTGCTGAGGTCTCGGTGCCTGAATCGAACCTCAGGTGCATCCTTGTCGCTTGGTATGTCTGCTCCTTTTCCGGCAGCACTTGCTCTTTCACGATCCAGTCAGTGTGCCAGGCCTTTGACTGCAGAAGACCTCCAGGATTGCGATATTGCTTTGGGACCTGCGTGCCATGGCGTAAAGTTGTACTTCGTTGTTCGAGTCGTGTTTCTTGATGCGTTTGAGGTCAGATACCGGAGTTATGGGGGCAGAGCTCACTGACAGCTTGTCACAGAAAGGGTGCGCTAAAGCTCCGATGAATGCCTTATCAAGCTTGAACTGGCAAAGTGGAAGCCTTTGTCATGGGAGGTATGCCCTATGCAAGCTGTTCATCGCGCCGGAAGACTTGACGGAGATGGTAAGCACTGCAGATAGGCGACGCAAGTATCGAGAAATGCAAGCTTGAGCCAGCGCGTTCTTCCCCTCCGCGGATCAGGGCTTCTTTCCCCACGGGCCGAATCGCTTAAAAGTGCTTTCTAAGCAAGACGGGGATAATTGAAGCTTGTGTGTCTGCGACCTGAACAGGGTACAAGTAGTTCGCTTGATCATATCAACTGATTCGTAGTTTCAATGACGTCTACACATGGAAGGTTTGTAACACGTAACGCAAATGTGGATGTTAAGCAGTAGTGGTAGTTAGTAAATCCTATGTTGGCACCACAAGGGGCCCCACATGTGCCTCGCCTTGGATTCGTTATGTCAGCCTCAGCAACGCAATTCAACACCTGGCATAGTTTCTTTCTCTACGAAAGAGTTTTTTGGATAGATGAAAGGAAGGAATTGTTTTGCCCAGACTGCCACAAGCACATGTTTCAGCATGCGCTGGCGACCAAGTCTGGGCAGCAAGACACACTGCAAAGACCAGGCAGCCCGGAACAGTAGGGCGGCCAGGAACCCCAGTCTCGCGCCCGGCGAGCTGGCCTTCACCAAATTTAGAGCAGATGCCAAAAGGGCGGTTTTCTTTGGCCGGCCCTGAGGTTCTCTGAAAGCGGGGTAAGGGTGTTGTGTAAGCACGAGAATGACTTGTTGTCTTTAGATCAGGGCCCCATGCCTCCAAAATTGTCATTTGACTCTTCTGCAGAGGTTCCTCGTGGCCACGTGTTGGCTTTGAAACCGGACATAACGCACAAGTTTTCTGGAGACACAACAACTCTGCTGCTCAGGTACTGGGGTTACTAGGTGATGAAATTACCAAGCAGAGCTTCATCAAGCTTAGTGCAGGTGTGTGGAGGGCGGAGCGTTTTCGCGACTTCCTCCTGAGCTTGAAACAGGCTACTTGGGCAAGGAGTGTGCCTGCAGGGAAAGAAATCCTGAGAGCCTATCAAGAGAGACCTCGATGCAGGACGGTAAGGGGAAGACTTTGTCCGTTGATCTGGAGAGCAGCGACACGGCTGACTTCCTTCGGGAGTGGGGACCTGAGTGATCTGATCCCAGCTGCTGAAAGCTGTTGAAGTCACCTGACATCACTAAGCTTCTTTGTAAAGCAGGTCGCCGCTGAAGATCTTCGAAGATGCAATAGAAACCGTCGTGCGCTCGGACAGCTGCTTGTGTGGTTTTAGGTGGTGAGCTGGTTAAAGAGTGAAGGTTGGTACGCTGCTTCGACCTTTCGTAGAAGCCGAGCTTGGCTTTGACATCTACAGTCGAAGCAGTGCTCTGCCGGCCCGAGCTTTGCAGTACGTTGTAATCAGTTGCAGTTCTGAGTGTCGAGCATTGACCTTGACCTGAATTTTGGCTTGTAGACTTGCAGGCCACGCATTGGGCAGAAAAGCTTAGGGTTTTCCCTGACAGGGGGCAAGGAGCATATGCTTTAGGGGGTGGTTGTGGGTGGCTCCCTGAGTTTGTGGGTCCTCCTATACAGGGGCTTGCGTGCTTCCCTGTCGCATTGCCAGGTGATGATAAGTTGATAAGGCCTTGAGAACACGTCCCCCTACTGTCACCCACGAGTCTTCCTTTTGCTTCCTTCAAGCCTCATTTGCGACACGCCTAAGTATGTCGATAGGAAGCACTGTGCATTGCGCAAAACAGGTCAGCTCGGCTCTAGGTGTGAAGTCAAGGGCATTCCATAGTTGGGCCGTGCTGTGGGCTGCAGTCGTATGTAGCCATGGTCACGGTGAGTTGCACTCAGCCGGAAGGCGCCTCGGGGAGTGATGCCAAAGCTTTCTCGATCCATTGCAACTTCAAACTTTCTGGTAGAGCCTGCAAGCAGTGTATCGAGGTAGGCTGGTTGACAAGCTGTTCCCACGTTTTTTGTCAAGAGCACGCAGAGATGTGGTTTCCATCTCATATGGAGTGCCCGGTGTGTCAGACTGGGCAGGCTGTTCGTGTTGTCAAAGTAGACTTTAAGAAGGCCTGCAAGGAGAAAGAATTGGCTCTCTGGGGATTTCTGCCTGGCGAAGCCTTTGAGGCTGCAGCTGAGGCTTTTCGCTTCTGGACTTTTCAGAAGACACTGGAGTATGACTGGTGGCAGGATGAGCATGGTGACTTGCGTCTGCAAGCTGACAGGTTGAAGCAGGCACTTTCTCAGCGGAGTAACGAGGCAGAAGCGGCCCTGCATCAGTTGTCTCAAAAGGGCCTTAGCCTTTTTCGGGAGCTACGCAATGCAACATCGCGAAGGGATCTTCTGCAGGAGGAGGTGAGCAGAGCTCGCAAAAGGTTTGTTCAGAATTTGGAAGCAGCACCAGATGAGCATGATGCCCTGCTGGCGCCGAAGAAACGCAGACCATCGCACACAATGGAGCAGACAAATCATCTTGCAGGCGAATATGTTTCGATGAAGTTGAAAGGATCATCCGAGAAGAGTTCCTCCGTTTGGCCCGGGTTTCCGCATGGCGGGCGGGAGATGTGGAAGGTGGATACTGCAGCTTCGAAGCCTGGCTTTGGTCACCGTTTGAGAAGCAACTTCTGTCAAGCTTAGTCGATGGGTAGGATACAGTGCTGTATAGTCTTATATGGGTGGATAAGTTGGCATGGGCGACAGAAAGGCCCACGTCCAATCGCACCATGGTTGAGTGTTTGTGGACACTTGCCTACTTTGCGTGCCGAACGCAATTATCGCATGTCATAAACGGTTTGGTGGTGTGGGTGGGCATAACAGAAGCCATGGCACACCACTGTGCATGTCCGGAAGCTCTGAGGGATCTGCCGACTGTGCGGAAAATTGAGTACGGCTGCACGGCGCATTTGTTTGTCATTTGAAGGCTGTGCTTGTCTTCGTGCCCAGCCGTGTGGAGGTACAATGATGTCACTGCCTTTCAGTGACGACGAGGAGCCGCTGCGTAAGGTGCGAACGGTTGCAAGCCTGTTTATTCGTTTTGTGTATGACAAACTAGAGCTGGCCAGGTCTCGGACATCACTGAAATTTAGCATGCTCATCCATGACACGCGAGCCAATTGTGATAAGTTGTGATGTAAAATTGCATGTCCCAAATGCCTAGGAAATTTAGAGCTGCTAGGGCAAACCAAGAAAATGACATCCTCTATCGAGCGTTTGATCTCATATGGCTTAGTAGTATCATTCCTGCTGAAACTGGTACTCTGCACTTCAAAAGGAATCTTGAAAAGATGAGTGCAATAAATGAAAGCTGGGCCTTATGGTGGCTTCAACGGAAGGGTTCCTTTGCCCTAGCAAATTAATGGAATAGGCACTTTGTGGTTTGCACCAGTACCTTCAACAGAAACGCAAAATGCAACTTTTTTGGTGTCTGCATGCTGCCCTGTCCACATCAGATGCTTTGCCAGTCGCACGTTCAGGCATGATTCAAACCATTCTTCGCATGCGCAGCCCTGTATACAGTCTGTAGACTGTAGGGATTAGTTTTAGGAGAAAGGCTGCAAAGCTAGACCTCGACTGATGCAATTTCAGTTATCTTCGAATGATGGGAGGGTCGGAAGTGGGTCCCTGCAGGCCTAAATGCGTTTGCCTGGGGCTTCGTGGACCCTTTTTTTGGGCCCGGAGGCTGCCCCGCATTTCGTCGAAAGCCCCTCATGAGAGGAAGCTTTCTTCATATATATGTGAGGCTGGGAAGTGGAGAGTCTGCGGGGCGGGCAGTTTCTGGAGCGCCAGGATCATCGTTTTGGCTGTCAGGAAAAGCAGGAGCTACGAGTAATGCATCTGATGCAAGGTCCTCCAGGCCTGCAGGCCTCAATGCAGTATCTCTTTGGCTTTCCATAGCCTTTGGAGGCCTAAATGCGCTCCTCAGGGAGTAATTTGCGGGGCGCCCACCAAAGGCTGTTTTCAGCTAGTTCTGAAAGCTCCCGAGATAATCTGGGCACTTGATGCTGGTGATGCGGGCTTTCTCAGGCCTTCTCGCACCCTTGTTGGGCCTTTCTGGAGGGAAGGGGCAGGTCAGCGATGTTGCTTCTGTGGGCCAATGTTGGCCCTCGCCTGCCCGCCTGCATCGAACTCGGCGCAGACAAAGGGGTTTCAACTGCTGAGCTTTCGAATCTGCCCGCTCTCACGTATTGTCGAGTCATGGTGGCAGCAGAAACAAGCGCTAGCGAACAAAACTCAAATCGGATCGACCCTCTGTGTGTGTGATTGACCCAGAGCATCTCAGTGGCCTTGGCTGTGCTGCAGGACCTTTACTCTGCTCCTGAGCTCGAAAACGAAGAAGCTGCTAGCTTCCTCTCCATGATGTGAGCCCACGGCTTAATGTGATTTACCAGCAAGATGACGTTCATCCACAGGTGGCGAGCAAAAGTCATGATCCTGCTCAATTCAGGGCTTGCCGCTCAGAGCGTTTCATTGCTGTACCAGCGCGCATGCAATGTGACCTGAGGCCTGGTGCCAGCACGTTGGCGCTGACCCCAAAGGCAATCACAGACCAGGATCCTGTGGAGCCTACGTCTTGGATGTCCAACTGTTCGGAAGAGAGGAGCCTTTTCAAGACACAGCAAGGCCGCAGCTGACAATCCTGCCGGGGATGCTCTGCATCTTTAGCATGGACAGGTGATGTGGCGGCATATTAGTCTCCACTCGTGACATCGTGTCCTATTCGCAAGTTATGCAGCTGCTGAGGTACAAGTTTGCATGCAGTTCGGATGAGAAAGCTCTTTCCCTTTCAGCATTCTTTCTGGATGCTCCCCGCGAGTATGCCTGCTCCTAATTCATGGATGTGTGAGGATGCTGTCCTCGGGCGTAAAAGTGGGACTCTGGTCCTATGTCGAGGTTATTGACAACATCACTGGGGACTTGACATTCCTAACGGGCGTTTGAGCCTCAGACCTCGCAATAAGCAGCAAATGAAGCAAGCACCCCATGCCGGAACCAAGTCCATCAGCGGGCCCTCGCAGCCCAAAACGGAGTCGGTGCCTGTCATGTACTCAGATCCAGTGTGAAATTCATGACCGGATCGAGTTGGTGTCCCAAGTTCAGGTAGTGTCGATGGGCATGCGATACGCCTTTGGCGTAGATGAACCGTGGAAAACCTGGGTCGCCTATGCCAAAGCTGGCTGGGACACCATAACCAGGTGTATGGAGTCGGGATTTTCAGCATTCACAATAATCATGGTGCAATGCTGCCAGGCATCCTACTGCAAGGTGGGACCCTGACTTCTACTATGATCCTGATGCAGACCAGACGTCTGGCAAGTCTTACACTTGCCATGGCGGCTTTTCTGATGGTGCGGTTGCCCAGGAAAGTTTGTATGTCCGGAGCAGTAGTTGTGAGAATGGTTGAGGCCGACCCATCAGAGCGTTGAAGTCAGCTGTTGGACTGAAACGGCTTCCTCACGGGTATTTTAATGATTGGCCTATGTGGGGAAGTTCAGCTTTGCAGCCCGACTGGCTGCAGGTGACTGGCGAGGTAGTCCAAATGCACAGAACACTGCATGAGAATGAACTCAAGTAGAGCTTGGTGTCTAGCAGAACAAGAGAAGGATCCATCATAATACTCGAACTTGTATAGAAAGTGATAATTTGATGGCGGTTGCTGTTGCTGTTCAACTTGCCGGTAACTTTGTGCATGAACAACAATTCTGTTACAGAAAAGAGTGGTTACACATTTCACAGGTCTGGCCGGACTGCAGGCTAGCCAGGCCACTTGCAACGCAGTGCTGGTATCCTAGGCATCGAACTTTTTGACTGTCGCTTCTTCGACATATCACCAGCCGAAGCCAGAGGCAAGGCCCAGTGACAATTTTGATTTGTTGATGCCTTGACGTGGCGTGATCTAAGTCATTGCAGAGGTATGGATCCAACGCAGCGCCAGGTTTTGGAGGTCTTGTACAGAGAGCTTAAAATCGAATAAGGTGCAGCCTGATAGCAGGTTTCGTACATCTCCTTGCAAGGGGCTGGCTGGTCGAAGAAGAGCTTGCAGGCGCTTGTGTTCGTGTGGGGCTGCTGGTCAACCTGCTGCCTTGCAAGGCCAAGCCTGCCAATATCGGCGTTTTTGTGGGGCTGGACAAGAATGAGTGGAACAGTATACCCAAGGACTGGGGGCAATAGTTGGAACGGGCTACGGGCATCTCTAGTTACCCATTGTGCGATCCATGAACGCCAGTCGCGTGGGGCTTTTCAAAGCTGGATTTGCTCAAAACAGCTGGCATCATAACAAACAAGAGTGCTGAGGGTACAGTTGAGTGGCTTCACTTGACGTGTGCACGCTACGAGACTCTCTGCCCAAAGCCGTTCGGCAGCCTGCTGCGTTGTGGCAGCATGTTGGTCTCTGACATCTCGGCAGAGAAGCTTCCCAGAATCTTGATTTGGCATCTCCAGTGGAAACTCCCTCTCCCTGACATCACGCATGATTTGGTTATCCAGGTGAAGATTCTAGTTTTGCATTGCCAAAGTCTGAAAGACCGCAAGAAGCTCCGTAAGGATGTGCAGTAGCGGATGCCTTTGAACATGTTTTCCATGTGTTCTTGCAATTTTTCATCTCGGCCAACCCCTTGCCATGGTCCTTCAGTTTGCTGATGTTTGTTGCAATCCAGCCTTCTCGCACACCTTCATGCTGGAACAGGAAGCTGATTGCCAAGGCTTGGCACCCACTTTTCCTGATACAGGACCATGATATCCATCTCATCATCTAATCTATCAGTTCCTCGTATTCAAGCTGCACGTTGTACAACGTATGTTTTAGGACCTGCGGCAAGGGCCGCCCCTTCCGCCTTCAGAGCTAGCAGAAACAGACAGCAAGAGCAAGAGTAACAGGGGCGTAACAGGGGCAGTAAGAACAGGATTAGAAGTACGTTATAGTAAATGCTTAGTAGAAGTAGGAGTTCTCGGAATAGTAGTGGTGAATGATGGACCCCCCGGGCCCCGGGCCATTTCTCCATTTGTTGGCCCCTGTGCCCCTTGGCTTCTACTTCCCCAAAACGGGCTTTTGGGAGTAGGAAAAATATGCGTGCTCATGATATTTTTTTGGGGGGTCCGGGGACCCCCCAATCCACGAAAGAATCATTTTCCTTGGAGGCAAAATGGATCCCCATTGTGCTGATGACGATGCTCACGTACGCCCTGCCGCCCGCCCCGCGTACGCGCGCATCATCAACACAAGTGAACCCATCTGGCTACTGAACCCATTCTTGAGCTGTTCAAGCCGCTTAAACAGCTTTTGCTTCCGCAAAAACCGCCCTCCAACTGGCCGCAACCCAGCAAATTCATCCATCACGCGCTAGACCTGAAAACCAAAGCCCAACTTTGATAAACCCTGCATAAAACCATCATAAACCCAGGAGCCCATCAAGAGTTCGCAATATTATTTCCACAAGAGGACCTGAAGAACCCATCATAAACCTCGCAAGAAGCATGACAACTATCCTCAACCTCGCCCAGAGCACAGGCAGCCCAGAAGCATGGAAAAGTAGAAACGTACCCCCAATGATGCTGACGATGCTGGCCCCCTTGACCAGCATCATTAGCGGCAGTAAATAACAGGACAGGTTACATCATAATAGAACTAGGGGTGGTCGGAATAGCAGTGAATGACCGTCGTATAGAGGACCCCCGGCGATGCTGATGATGCTGAAGCCGGGGCACCAGAAATGAAACAACCAGTTTTTTTCCTTTCATTCTTTCTTTTCCTTTGCCTTTTTCAGTGCTTCCTTTCCGGTGTCCTTTACCTTTGAAGTCACCTTTGCCAGTGACTTTTCCAGCTCCTTTCCCTTTTTCCTTTTCCTTCATTTGCTTTGTAGTTTCCTTTTCCTTCCTTACCTTTGCTTTTGTACCTTTCTTCCAGTGCTCCACTGTTAATTGGCATTGGACCTGCAGCGTCCCTCTTGCTGTCAGTGCTTGTGACCAAGTGTCTGCTTTTTGTGACACCTTTGCAGTGTACCCAATAAGTCCTCCAAGTCTTGCTGTGCACAATGTTCAGTCATGTTCAGTCTCAGGTGCTGTTGCAGTGCTCCAGTCGTTTTCCGCACACACACAATGATCAGTAAGTCCGTCAACGTCAGACCGTCAGAACTCAAAGCCACCCGGGCAAGCAGGCCAGCCATCTGACGACTGATTTCAACCAGTTGCATGTTTTTGTGAGAGTTAGTACGCTGGTTCCAGTCAAAGATGTCAGCGTTTTTCATGTTAGTGGTGAGAGTCACACAAGTGTCCATCAGTGTTTGTGTTCAGGCTTGTACAGTCCTACATAGACATACTTCTTGAACTGCCAGCTCCAGTCTTCATATTTGTCGAGTTCACCATGGAACACAGGTGGAGGGAACAGTTTGATCTCTCCTCCTAGTCCTCTCAGTTTGCTGTCAATCCGAACGAATTCATCTTTGTTCAAACACTTCCAAGTCACGCAGCGGTCAGCCCCAGCTCCAGCCAGGGTTCCGCCATGACAAATTACAAGAAACAATCAGTCACAGTATTCAGTATGCAGATCAGCCACATTCTCATACAGTCAGCTCAAACAGCCTAAAGCAGCGCCGTGTCTACATTTCGCAGGGACAGTTCAGCCTTGCACCAGTGGCTCAGTCTTGAGCCTTGAGCCAAAGGCATGTGCTAGTCTTGATGTGGCAGTGGATCTGACCATGTCAGAACCCCACCACCCCCCCTGCCTCCCGTAGACCGACCTTCCAAGCGACTCAAAGTGATGTCGCTACCGAAGGGAGTTCTGGCAAGCATTGGCTCGCTTCAAGTCGGTAAACAGAGCCTTTGTGATCAGAGCTCTGCTATCACGATGAGATTAAACACGGGCGTTGCTGACCTGACAAATGTGCATGTGAAACACGGGCGTTGCTGACCGGACAAATGTACATGTGCAACACCAGTGTCGGTAGCATATACTCCGAGAATCTTTAGCGTTCAACCATTCACAAGGACGGTTGTATGGACATGAATTGCACATTCTGCAGCATAGCGCTTGGACAGCCTGCTCCTTTCCTTTGCAAACATGGTTTGTACTTCTTGGTGCAATTCTTGTTGAGCAAAACCGCCTGTGCAGTGACTGCCTGCTGTCGAGGATATCTCTGGTGGGTTTGCCGCATCCAGTGGAGCCAATGCCATCACTGCCAATCGCTTCAACTACTGCATGAACCTGAAGGCCTGTGTTTCGCAGCGTGAAGCCATCACAATCTGTGAAAGCTGTCAGGGTGCCAGCATGACAATCGACACAGCTTGTTCTGCTTCACTGGTACTGGCCTTGAGGGCACTTTTTTTGGACGGATTCACCTTGTACATGGCCGAACTAGGTCTGTACTCACACAGCTAAGCTGTCAGATCCTTAGAAGCCATGCGGACACTTGCTGAAGATTTTCATTGCGGTGCTTACATTGCCAGTCCCCTTTTCGCCGAGAGGTATTTGCTTCACAAGCATTACGACCCTTGCGAGGCTTCACTGCCTTGGACTGTTTGCATGGAACAGCACTGTTTACTTTCGATATCTTTCGACCACTGCAGCCTGCTGCAATTGGCACTGTAAGCAACGCTGTCCACAGTCAACTGGCACCAACTTCGATCTCAAACTGAAGTTTGTGCAAATGCTGCCGTGCTGAGCTTCAAGCTGCCACGAGACTCCCTCCCCCAAACGCCATTGGACTCAGACTCAGCATTCGAGTCGCACCCAGGAACGCATGTGACCAGTAGCCAGCAGTACGGAAAAGTAGGCAGGAGTGCAGGTCCCTGGCATTGCTTTCGGTTGACATGCCATGGGCTGCTGCAAGTCTAGTGCATCCTTGGAAGCCTTGAGACTACAGAGAGAGTGCGATTTGCAGCCTGGCCATGCATTCAGATGCGTCGACGAAGCAATGTGAGGAAAGAAGACGGGCCGTCTGTCTGGAGTGAATGTTGAGGTGATTGGGCTGGGAAGCTTTGCGAGTAGCGTTGTGTAGCTAGTCGTGACTGACCATGGCAACTTGCGTCAGGGCAAGAACAGGGTTGAATTGCCTGGAGATGCCTGGAGCGAGCCTGAGAGGAGAGAGAGAGGTAGCTGCTCGTACATCAATTAGGCAAAGCCAACCATGGGTGGGGGGAAGTTGTTGGAGGGGGCCTCGGGTCCTCTTCAACGCCGCACGAACGAAAAAAGGAAAGAGAGAGCAACTTGCAAGATGACGGGATGCTGTTTTGCCGAGGCTACGTCAACAGCTGTCGGCAGCATCACTGGGTGTTGACGCTGAAGACAATGCGGCCCTGAACCATGCGCTGGAGCATCTTTGGCCTTTTGTCGCCGAAAACACAACAAAGGAACTGGCTGCACAGCTGGAACCATCCATGAAGCTGGCTTTGAGCAAGCTGCCTTCACCGCTAAACAAGTGCAGCGTGGACTTGCAGCGTTCAACTCTCGGCACCCGGCCCTTACGACTATTGTCACCGCAGACAGCTTGGTCGAGCCCTACGAGCTTTACAATTAGCTTGCGCTTGGAGTGGGACAGTGACAGCTCAGTCTACTTGATGTTCACAGGCGCTACAGTGGGAATTGTAAACCTCAAGGTTGTTGGGAACTTGATCGTTGAGTTGTTAGTCATTTCCGGCGGGCCCGTCCGAACACTGATCTCCGGCCTGCGGCTCTTCTTTCCGATGCCGCCAGATCCTTGCCTGCATCCTGTTGCAGGCTTGCAAGGCTTGCAAGGCTTGCAGGCGTGGCCCTCCATTGCAGCATTTTCACTGTAACCGATCAGCTAAGGATATCCAGTTTGATATCGATCGGGGTCAATTGGCCATGGCTGTGAACCTTTCGATGTTGAAGCGACTGATCTACCAAGCCATGTCTGAGAAATGGGCAGAGAAGCTTGTGTTTCCAAACTGCCAGGGGGTGTCGTGGACAAAATGCCTTGACGATCTGGATGTTCGGCGACCGCGCGTGGAAGGCATCCTCTTCCTCACCGTTGGCAAGCTCGAGGGCCTTCCGGAGCCAGGCTCGGAGCAGTTTGCGTGTATCCAAACGTTTGCCGTGCGTGTGTGTGGATTGTGTGGAGCCTGCATAAGCAGCGTTACATGAGTGTTACAGGTTGATCCGCACAGCTGAGAAGCCAAGCACGCGATGTTCAGTCATCATGTGAGTCTTCAGCAGGTCAGTATACCGTTGAGGCGATCTTTGGATCACGTCGTTGGTCAAGTTCCTTTGAGCTGGATGACACTTCCAAGGGTCTCCAAAATTTATGTCGCTGCCACCTTCTTGTTCGAGCGTGCGCTCATCAGCAGCTCCTCGTGAAGGTCACGAGAGATAGAGTTGCTCTGCCAATTTTTGGAGTGTCGGTTTTCTGTAATTTTAACGTCGATATCGAACTGTGATTCTCAAATGGTCAGGGTTAGGATTTAAGCTTTGGCTTCGGGAATTAGGATGTACGGTTTTCGTTTTGGTGGTTGGGGTTTGGGGAGTGGACTTTAAGGTGTAAAGTTGAGATCTTATGAGGGTTCAGGGTTGAGGTGCTTTGGGGGGGTTTAGGGTTCGGATTCCGGGTTGAGGTTTGTTCGGTCTGGGTTTAGGGTTCTGGATTTGAGCTTCGGATGTAGGGGTAAGGATTTGAGATACGATTTTTTAGGTTTGGCTTTGGGACGTTGGATTTAGGAGTTTGGGATGGAGGCTTGGGGAGAAATTGCGGTTTGGATGTAGGGGGCGGGATCTAGGGCTTTGGATCTCGGTTTTGAGTTTTGAGGTTTGGATTGAGGGCTTACGCTTTAGGGTCCAGGGTTTGGGGTGTAGGCGGCGCAGTAGCAATGGTTCGACAGATTTGGATGGGTTTACAGAGCTCTCGCAGGAGAGTTTGGGGTTTGGATTTAGGGTTAGGGATCCGGGGTTTGGTCTTAGGGTTGGGGATATTGGGTTTAGGGTTTGGGCTGCGTAAGTCCACGACGGGATTGTCTTACATTTCGAAGGCCTTTTCTGTGTCAAGATAAAAGATCTGAGTGATGCTGTGTCGCAGGTCATGAGCCCCACGCTAAACCTTTGCAATGGATATGGTTTCCCGTAGACGAGTGGGGAAGGGTGTTGGCGTGGAGCATAGCACTGGGAATCTGCCGATAGCTGATCAGTCTGGTTTGGAGACGCATAGGGGAGAGGAGGCTCAGAGATCTGGCCGAGGGTCAGATGAGTCTCGACCACTGCTTGAATCAGGGGAGGGTCAGCTGGGAGTAGACCAAGCAAGTGCTACTGCTAGTGATGCCGCGCAAGCACATCCTTCCTGGTCTACAAGAGCACAAGAAGAGCTGAGACTACAAACTGCGAGACCAGACCACCTACCTAATCCAGACTTTCTGTGAAATGTGGGAGTGCCACCTTCAGGAAATTCCAGTGCATCTACAGAGTTTAGAGCTAGTGACTTCTCTACTGCAGTTGACTTGCGGGGTCCGAGAGGATACCCTGTAACGTATGGTCCCACGGCGTTAAGGACTACAGTCGCGGAGGGAGTAAGCTCAAGTCTTGGAAGGCCTGATATCGGCACTAACGCGCCTGGAACTGGTTCCGAACCTCAACCTGCAGGTGGATCTACCGATACTGTAGAGGAATCTCATGGTCTGTCTGTCAGAGAACGTAACATTTTGTCTCATGTCTAGAAACGAAGTCCTATGGAATCGTGTTTTGCGACTGGAAGAAGAAAGATCGACCAGTCAGACGGCGTGGCAGTCGGCTGAGGATGCTCAGGACAATGTTGATCAAATAGGTTTTGGACTTGGGGATCTTGGATCTAACCCTAGTGGTGAGGGATGTGCTAAGGATGACCATAAGGGTGCTCTGGATAGTATGAGGTACGAACAGGGATATCAACGGCGAAGGAGCTAATGGAGTCAACTTAACCCCTAGAGTTAGGCAGGAGTAGTTATGTTGAGCCCCAGCCTGTGTCTAGCCCAGCGCCCAGTTTTGGTGTCGTAGGACTCGAGGATGGAGACAGAACTCCACCCGCTAGTCCCTACAGTGATCAGTCTTGCATGTAACACTACTCCTCAGGGTACCCCTACCCCAAAAGAACTTAAGCATTAATGCCTCCGGCTATTCCCGCTTTCCCGATGGGTGAGGGGTGCTGTGGAGGAATGGTCCCTTGTCCGCAGCCACCGCCGTTTCCGGGGCCGACACGGGGAGCCGGTGATGGGGCATTTCCGACGCTTCCGATGTTGCCAGAGCAACAAGACAGTGGGAAAGATCCGTTTGCGCCCGGAGATTGAGTGTACTGGCAGTTGCCGACGTTAGCCGAGCCAGGTGAGAGTTCTTTCCCTGCAACCAGGGCAGCTGATTGGCTTGAAGTCCTTAGTCCTTGATGTCGGATTTGACGGCGATGTCAGGGGCTTGGTGGCAAAGAGTTGTTGCTGAGTCGTTTGCATGGTACACTAGGTGGGTGCAGTCGCCGGCTGTTAGGGGGCTAATCAGGCCCACCCAGTCATCTGAGTTGCAAGAGATTCGCTTCAGGCGGTTGGAGAGTAGAGCGTACGCAATGCTACAGGCCGCAGTTCCAGCAATGATCAGGGAAGAACTGGTTGCTAATCGGGAGATTCATTGTGTGGCTTTGTTGTTCCATGTCATGCGGGTGTATCAACCAGGTGGCCTTCAAGAAAGGACGACGGTTGTAGAGGCACTGAGCAACCCAGGTTCTTCAAATACTGCGTCCGAGGCAGTTACCAAGCTTAGTAGGGCCTGGGGACGAGCACTTGCTAGGGCCACAGCCATGCAGATTAATGTCCCGGACGCGTCCCTCATGCTTCGTGGTATTGATACCTTGTCTGAGCAGATTCTCAAGCGGCATCCCCATGTGAACTTTAGATGTAATCATGCCCGAAACAACCTCCAGCTGGACCATTACCCAACCCTGCAGACCGTAAGGGAGTACACCAAGATCATTCAGTCAGAGTTTGACATGCTCGCTATTTCAGGCTCCGCCTTAGAACCTGGGCCTAAAAAGCCCAAACTCGCAGCGATGCAACAAGAGGGAGGTAAGGGTAAGTTGGGGAGTGGTCAAGGAAAGGATGGAAAATCTGGAGATACCAAGGGGAAGGGAAATAAGGGCGGCGGGGATCTGCCCAGTGATGGTAACGAGTCTCAGACCTCAGGCAGGGAGACGGCGGCAAGGGTTGTTGTAAAGGGAGGGCATGCGCTTTCCGCCGTAGCTTTGCTGCTAAGGGGGAACCCAGGTGCTACAACTGCAGGTCTACATAGCATAGGCAAACCGCATGTACTCCCCCTTCAGGGTCCGTCACAGTCTGCCAAATAACCGGAGATGGGAAATCCAAAGGAGGGAGCGCCAAATATGGCGCCCGTTAGCTCGGGGTCTGATACTGCTTCAGCTGCTGCGACTCCCCAAGCCAGTAAGCCTCGAAACCCCAGTCAGGTACCGCCCCATAATCAGGCATCTGCTCCTCCCTCCAGGTAGCGTAGGGAGTCAAGGGAGCGGAGTAAGTGCTCCG